AAAATGTAGAGATGGAGAGTTAGTGAGCTTTTTTTACTTGAAAGAAGTAAAGTTGAGTTTGAGCTAAACAGTGAGGGGCTTGCAAGACCGGTTTGACCAAATGAATGAAATTAAACCAACTGTGTATGAGTTTCAGCAGGGCTTTGAAGTAAAGAGTAAAAGAAACAGGCCCTTGAATGGATAAAAACAAAATATGTTCCAACCTCTGTTCCAATTTTAGCAGAGCACACAAGGAGGAAAAAAACATCATGAGAGCAGAGAGACCACTTTGGAGAAAGGAGCAACCTATTTCAATAATGCATTCACATCACAAATGAGACACTCCGCTTCCAAGTTCTGTATTTGGCTTCAAAAGAACGGCCTTAATTTCATTAGTGAGCTATAAAGAAGCTGAGCTAGTGCCAGGTGACTAAACCACTTACTCACACTGATGAAGTGCCACTCTTTGCGTCAGTGGTATTCTATCATTCATTTTGCTTTCAGTCTCTGAAATTCATATTTTGGTCCATGATAAGAATATCAATTAAACAAAAACCTCTAAATGATCTCCGTCTGACTCGGCAGGTGGATGTGATGGCGTGCTGTAATGTGCTTTAATTGTAAAAACAACACAAAAGTCTGCGACTGACTTTCCTTTCCTCCAAAAGACCTCATTCAAACGATATATCTAATATATTTAATTAGAAACTAATGAAAAAAAATAGCTCAAATAATTAGGTGTGTGTTGGGGGGGAGGTGTTCTGCAGTTTCTTTATGCATTGGGATAAGGTTGATTAACAGCACCAGACTTCATCTAATTAAGCTGCTTCCATGACAACAAAATTCAACCAGAACAAAATAAAAAGAAACTCCCAGGCAAAAACATATGAATTAAATCATCGGGGCGTTTGTTTTTCTGTCACTCAGATAAATAGGAAGATATGAAACCGGATGGAATTGTTAACATTATATGATATTTTGATTGTAAATATGTTTCAGGCTAAAAATATCTCAATTCCTAAATCACTAGGACACAGTGGTATAATTTAGTCACAAATCAATTTCAGAAAATATACATGCTGAGTGCCTTAAAAAACACACTAATGATCAGCACAATGCATTGAAAAAGTCTACTCCACAAGCTTTAATGTATTTTTTTAGGACTTATGTGAGATAGACCAACAGTTGTGCAGATAAATAGCACAGCAATGCATGAGGTGAAAGGAAATTGATATATGGTTTTCAGATTTATTACAAAGCTCTAAGGAGTGTGGTTTTCCAATTCGTACTGTTTTCCACTGTGATTTTGTTTCTGCCACCTAAACATAATTATAATTACAGGGCTAGAATTAATACTATGGGTTAATAAAACAAAATAAAAAAGAATCAATAAAGTTATGAGAGACCTTTTAAACGTTCCTGCAAACTGCTGGGACGTCAGGATGAGTTCTAGGATTTAAGATCGATTTAAGAAGTTAATTATTTAATATGACTAGCCCAAAACTGAGAGAAGTGGATGTTAATCCTTTAGGTCCTTCATTTCACAGCTTCCACTGTGTCACCCTTGATTTCTTACACTATTTTCAGAAACAAATAAGAGTCCTTTGCCAGAGGACCTCAAAGACTGTGCAGACTGTAGAATACAAAGAGACAAGATGTAGCTGAAAGAAAAACCATCGAGGATCTACAGTGAAATCTTAAAATCAATCCTGAAACACAACAAACTTTGTTGCTACTATTTTTTTGTATTTCTTCACCTCTACAGCTGCATCCTTATGCTCGCTTCTCCATCAATTAATCATCTGCCTAATTTCCTTCCTGCAAAATCATTTGTGTGCATCAGCAATAGGCTGGATCATACCAGTTTGTTGCATAAATGCAAGCGCCTGTGGATGTCCTGAAGGGTAAAGCCATGATGAAAGAACTTGAAAGATCAATGAGCATGAGTTTCCCCATGTTTTAGGGATTATAGAGTAATCAGCAGCAGTGTCATTAATGGCTGAGGGGACCAAGTGTGCTGGTTGCATGTAATAAATGGATGTTGGTGAGAGAATTTGATTAGGCTTGAAACCTGGCATGCTCATTTGCAAACTGAACAGTGTGGTGCCACAGTTCGTATGAAAAGAAACACTTTTCACCTTTCCGTCAGCTTCTGTGCTGCCTGTAGCTTTTCCTTTAAGGAAGGTCATATCTAGCGTCATTCCCACATGATGTGATTTCAGTGTAAAAGTGAAAAAGGCTAATTGAGCTTAAACGTAGCGTTTGCCCGCTCCTGGGCCTCGTGAGGACCCTTTTCTTTTTTCTGGGCCACATCTCTGAGGTCTCCAGGAAAAGACAGGAACCACACGCTCTCATTTTCAATGCACACACACACACACACAACACACACACACACACACGCATACACACACACACACACACACACACACACAATGTTTTTCTTCACAATAATAACTCGAATGTCCGGACTGAAGGTGAGAAATGAGATCAGCAGTGTTGGCTTGTTTCTACTGACTCTGTAAAACATGATTATCTTAGTTCCCTGAATGTCACGTTCACAAGAAACATTATGGTGGTAAATAAAACAACAATTGATTAAGCTGATTATCCCATTTATGTTTCCTTTGATTCTCAATTAGAGGTCCATAGTGTAAAATAAAAGCGTCTTTCATAATTTCTCATGATGGGAAAAGCGAACAACAAAAGCTAATCCCTCTCACTGGAAGCTGCACAACACAATTAAACATTCTGTCCCTGATGCCTTCATTTGGAAAAGAGTGGGACCTTCATACCTTGACAGCCGACCACTTTGACTCATGTTGGGCTGATGGAGTTGCTTAGGTGGCCTGGGAGAACAAGCAGGGTCTACTTCAGTTCACACAACTCATTAAAAAATACGTCATACGTTTTATCCTTCTTTGGCCAGATAATACTGTGCAAAAATATCCAGTTTTGTTTGTGAAGAAATTGAGTTCAAGCGGCTGTCACACTGTTTTTGAGCACACACACACACACACATATATATATATATATATATATATATATATATATATATATATATATATATATATATAGTTCTGTCATGTATCCTGTCACAGTGCCTTCATACTGAGATCAGTGGTATGGAATTCAATATTCTGTGGGTCATTATTTTGTACGTTGCTTTTAATGAAGTTAATGTGTTAGCTTAAGTTCGGGAGCAGACCTCTTACCACACCTCTAATTTTCCAGGCAGCCTGTTTATACTCTGCTCACCCACTTATCTCAGTCTGTTAGGTTTCGTCAACCCCACCCTCCCAGACCCTCTACCTCTGTCATTTCATCCATCTTCATTCTTTGCTTCTTTTTGCTGCAGGTTTTGTCTAGGGGGCCCTATGAGGTCTTGGGACAAATAAGTGGAACCGTTTCCCGAAGACCAAACCCCGATGCAGAGTCTTCACCTCTCAAGCCCTCCATCATTCTCCCCAGATACCCAAATCATTCAGATCATTCATCCCCTTCATCCCTTTCATCCCATCATCCCCTTATCCCTCCATCCTTTCATTAATAAATCTGTAAACCTATATCTTTGTGGCGTGGTCCTTGCTAGTGAACTGTAACATAAAAACAGTGCCTGTAAAAAGTATTAATTCTCTAGAATCTCTAGAATCACAATCAACATAATTGTGTGTTTTGTGACTAAAAAAATTTCACCAAAAAACTTTAAAGTCAAACCATAAACAGAGTTCTACAAAAAATAATTATAATTGGACACAAAAATTCAACATAAAATAAGTAATAGCATAAATATTCAGTCACTTTAAAGAGATTGAGCTAATTCAACAGAGGTCCAGCCAGTTGGTGCTGGCATTCTCCAAATGAGTGGAATGGAGATCACCTTAGTGTAGTGAGTGTGTCTAAAGTGATAGTAGTGTAAAGACAGCGGTGGCTGGAAGGTCAGTTCGCTGGTTAATCAGTATTCCTGACTACCACTACAACATGAGGACAAAATAACACTCCAAGTAAATCAGAGAAAAGGTTATTGAAAAGTATAAGTCAAAGCTTTATGGGAGAGGTGCAATGAGAAAACAACTGCTGAAGAAACCTCGTGTGAAGGCTTGACTAGAGTTTGCCAAAAGGGAAGGCGGGAGACTTCATATTTATCCTATCCATTCCACGCGCCAAAAATGGTAAATTTTAGTTTTTACAAAAATGGTTAAAACTTAATCTCATTCTCATGATTCTAATATGAATTATGGGATATAAGTCACGTCTCATTTGCTGAATGTATTGATGCCCCTCAAGAACAGAGTCATTTCTCCAGCTACGCAGAAAACTATTTGTTTAAAAGAAATGTCATGGAAAGTTAATTGAAAAAACATCCACCTTTACCTCCACTTGTGTCCCACTTACCTTCTTAACAATAAAGAGGAGGGCAAGCAGATAAAGATCTGAAACTGTCATGGAGTCACCTCTTTTTAGTCACACACACTCAGTTGTTGTACATGAGAAACTTGCTTTGCTTTTCCTGTCATTTCCTAGAAATATGCAGGTGTTGATGGCCTTTATGTGCCGTCATCTCTGATTCAGCAGCACTGAAATCCCTTTAGAAAATGAGCATCAAACGCGACTGCAGCAGTGATACAGTCACACATCAAACACAGAGAGCCACTTGTTGTATGAAGCACTGAATATGCATTAATCATAATGTCTCTTAAACTTCAGCACTCAAACAAATGGTCTGAAGTCATGTCTCATCTTTATTCATGTCAATGTTGACTTTTAGGACAACCCTAAACTCGTAAAAGGGTTTTGTTTTCACTAAATATTCAAGGATTTACTAAACAGAATGAAAACTCAGAATAAGACTGATGAGTAACAGGACTGATAAGCAGCAAATAACCTCAAAAAACCATAAAGCAGACCTTCAACAAACTCTAACATTATTAATCTTACACAACAACATAGGTCCAAAACAGAACTTGAAAAGTAATAAAACGGCCTGGTCTAGTAGTTTGTCTATTTGAAGCAGCACATAATTTTTGCAATCAGCAGACAATAATATCTATGACAATGGCATTATGTTGCAAAATATGTTTCTTTTCTCATTTTCCATGAATGTGTACAGTTTCACTGAAGACATTTTACTTGTTATTCATGAAACATAAGTTTGATTTTGTTTTTATTTGAAGGGTCTTGCAGATTTTTGTAGGCTTAGATACATTTTGACCCAAAAAGCTCTTTGAATTGTCAAGGTTGCCGACTCCGGGTCTTTGTTTTCTCAAAAATGTACTGTTTGGGGCAACTTTTATCCAAAAATGACGTTTGCATTGTTTGCAATAGAAAGTAAAAACCCTAATTAAGTTCAAGAATACACACGGCCTTTTTAGTTATAGTCTCTATATTTTTAATTTAGACATTTATAAACTTTCCTTTTAACATGACAGCAAAGAATTTTCAATATGAGCAATAATCTGATTAATTGGTCCGCCTGGTTTATCCCCAAACTGTGGTTCTGTGGTTGCACACTCATCCTGCCAGTAGATCCAAAAATCTCCACTAAGCCAACTACTGACTTTGCTCAAGAGCAGATTATCTTGATTTTAAATCCAGCGCAATGCAAGCATAAAGCTGCAAAATATAAGCGCTTATGCATAGATGGATTTTTTTGTGTGTGTGTGCGTATTATGTTCCCAGTTGGCGTGTAGTGCTGTCTGATTAATCCTTTAAATTTTCTACGCAGCGCACGCACAACATGCGGTCATGATGATGGCATGTCCTCACAGGTAATTCTCTGACGAAAGCAGCTTCTGCAGCCCTTCTGTCCTGAGAGGCGTCAGAGCACAAAAACGCAGCCACATCCGTCATGAACCAGCCTGCAAAGAGGATGATGCCTTCTTTCATGTGTTTACAACAAGCAGTGAAAGACATGAACGGACAAACGTCATTTCACCTGCTCACTCCCTCCTCCCTTAACGCCAAAAAATAATAGCAAAAAAAAAAAAAGGCAGTGAGGTGAATGGAGAAGGAGCAAACGTTCGTCCCCACTGACCTGGATCGTGCAGGTGTACTCCGAGTCGTCCAGCAGCCTCACCGTGCAGTTGCATTCCCTGTCCAGACTCCTGACGCTGCTGCTCATCAGTCGGCTCAGCATCTTCTCGATCGTCTGCAAACGGGACCAGAGAGAAGTGCGCGCAGCACATAGATACGGGTCGACTTTCTGTCAGGTTAACGGCGTCCCTGCTCCGTGCTCCTGCACCTGGTCGGTGGCGGCGACTGGAGCATCGTTTTATCATCAGCGTGTGAGTGACTCTTATCAGCAGCAGCAGCGTGTCTTCACTCGGACAGGGACTGGAGGATACCGCATCTGCGTCTGCTGCCCGCGATGACAACGACGGTCTGGTTGGCCCGTCACCCCCTCGCCACACCTGCCCAAGCCCTTGCCATGCCGCTCTCGGTGCTGCTGGTTGCTGAATGAGGAGTCTGCCAGCCAGCTGAGCTTTGGCTGAGATGCTGCCTGCGCAGACATAACGACAGGAGGCGAAATTCCGATAGGCTGCTGTACGTCGTGACGGCAGCCACATGGTCGAGCATAATAACACAGCGGGGCCCCTGCTAAACAGGTCAAACTTTAGACAGATGAGAGTCTGAGTACATTTTTCAACAACTGAAATGTCAAAAGAAAAAGACATAGCACAAGTTAATCACCTCTTTTATATTTATATTTTTGATATTTCTAATTTCGGTTTTACAAACAGGAATTGCAGTGGCTCTGAAAATCTATACATGCCTGTTAAAATGTCCATTCCTGTTATTTGATAAGTAATTCCAAAACTTTTATGCCTTTGCCATGGACTGTGCAATTAAAGTGAAAGCTCATTTATTTGAGGACAAACTCAAAGGCTGTAGTAGCCCGGTTGGAAAGATGGGCTGACAAGAAATGTCAGATTTGGAGAATTTCTAAAGTGACTGTCAAGTCAAGATGTAGCATGTTTCAACAGGACGAAGGCTGAATGATGAAATGAAATGAAAATAAAGTTTTATTTAAAAACTTGTAAAATTGGCTAAGAAGATTTTCTTTTCTATTTACAAAGTTGTTTTTCTTCTGTTTAATGATATGGGATAATTGTTGCATAGGATTCCACATTCATCATATTAACAGAAAGGTCTTAATAAACAAGTCAAGAATAACTGACTTCTGTATCAGCTATAATTTGGTACATGACCTGAGCTCTTTCCAGTTTCGGTATCTTGATGACTTGTTCAGAAGACATGTTAGGATAGACAAAACTGGTCTTTGTCTTCAGTAAGGTGGGAACTGCTCAGGCCTATCAAGAAGAAAAATTTGAGTCAAAAAAGTAAAACTCTTAATTTGCAATTCAACTGCCATTTATTGTTGTAAGATATGTATCATGGCTGAAAAAGCATGATTCTGGACACCAGCAGCTGAAATGAGTTTTATCCACAAAGTGCCTACAATGGCTCTCCACAGCTATAAGGTCAGGAATTTGTGATGAAAATATTCAGATTTCAACTTATCATATCACTAACTAATTGCACTGGTAAGTATGATTTTCCAAATCTTTGGCTAAAATCTGTTTTTGAGTTTATAGACTAAATGAGAATGGTTGAGTTCTGCATTTTACAGAATATGCAGATTTTCAGTTTCATGAGCAATGTCTCCCCCTAGTGATAATTTGGGATTAACAGAGACAAATGAACGTGTGCAAAAACCTCCGCCTACAACAGAAATGTGAACTTTGTAAAACTAAGGTTATACCATACTACACTAAAACAGGTGCATGCTTTTAAAATGCTGTCTTCTAAATGCGGTAAACAACACAATGTAAATCATTCTAAACTTTTCGGGTAGTACATACAACTGAAAATACACATCGCATGACGTTTCTGTACAGTACAATTATGTATAAATTATCGTTACAAATACTTCCCAATCATTTTAGCTTCATCAGAAGTGAAAAATAAAAAATGAGCTCATCTGCCGTGACATTGTATCGCAATGCCGTGACCCGGATTCGAACCGGGGTTGCTGCGGCCACAACGCAGAGTACTAACCACTATACGATCACGGCGAGCTACGATGAGCTGCTGGTACTGTGAGTTGAAACTTTCAAAGTGTTTCCTGCACATCAAAATTTTTTTACTCATTTTGTGTTAAAGCTTAAGTGATTTGATGAGTTACTCTTTCTTTGTATCAGTTAACTGGAAAGCAAACGGACTGCCACTATATTACTGCTGTTAGCGAGAATAATTAATTGTAAAGATATAACTTTGTTCATTGCAGAATACTACCATCTGGTGGTAGATCCGACGAGGTGCTGCAGAGTTTATTTTATTTTCCCTTCTGTTTCTGGTCTCTGTTTCTGATTGGTTGCGCTTGGATACGTAACCGTCCTTTTCCTGTTTTGTAACACAACCAACGTGCATATTACAAAAGAGAAAATTGGTCATTATCCAACGCCACATAGACCGTGTGCGAAGAGATCCCGGTAGGGGTAAGGTAGGTAAAGCTATCTGTCAGATGTACATTAATCTTCTATCTTTGTATAGCATGCATACTACGGTGGCCACCGTAGCACACACTGACTTGGGTCCGTTGTGTTTTTGCAGTACAGTTGTTCAATTCAGTTTACTATGTAGCGTCAATTCACAACAAATGTCGTCTCGAGCCACTTTACCAAAAAACCATTTCAGTTCAGTCACCAGTATTGAATATAACAATTATCATCAAAAATGAGATTCATTATTCAGTGCATAAAGCGAAATAATAATTTGCAGATCTACATGCAATTTATGTTCATTTCACAGGTTGTTGCTGCAGGATCGTTGTTGCAGCAGAAGTTTCAACAGTGCAGGATTTATGCTTTTGTTGAGATTTTTACATGTGCTATTTGACAATGACATTTCCATCTCTCAATTTTTTTAAATGATTTCTCACGTGTCTGCATTCACAGATCACCAGGAAATGGCTCACGTGTGTATACACTGGTTCCGTAAGGGACTCCGGTTACATGACAACCCAGCACTGATGGCTGCACTGAAAGACTGTAAAGAGCTTTACCCTGTGTTCATCCTGGACCCTTACCTTCACCACGCCCAGGTTGGCATCAACCGCCAGAGGTTCCTCATTGGGGCACTCAAAGACCTGGACTGCAGCCTGAGGAAACTCAATTCCAGGTAAAAACATGGACACAACTTTCAAAGAAACATCCTTTTTAGACATTTCTGATTGATATTTACAACTGTTCTTTTGTAACGACTATACTGTGTTGTGATTTGGCCAGACTGTTTGTCCTGAGGGGGAAACCAGAAGATGTGTTCCCAAAATTGTTTAACAGGTGGAATGTAACAAAGCTTACTTATGAGTATGACACAGAGCCGTACAGTCTACGTCGTGATGAGAAAGTGGCCAGTCTGGCAAAAGAACACGGAGTCGATGTCATCTACAAAATCTCCCACACGCTTTACAATATAGAAAGGTAAATGTCAATTTGAGTATGTCCAGATAGATTTTACCTGTTGTTATTCTCAATTTCCTGCACAGTAATTTTGTATTCTTTCTGGATTGCTATTCCTCTGAAGAATAATTGAAGAAAACAATGGAAAACCTCCTCTAACTTACAAACGTTTGCAAGCAATAGTGCAAAATCTTGGTCCACCCAAAAAACCAATCCCTGCTCCAACTTTGGAAAACATGAGAGGTGTGTAACCACAGTTTGGAATACTTTGCATTAACAAGGGAATATGTTTTGGGTGTCAAAGTGTGATACCTTTTCGTTGTTTATTTGCTGAAGATGTTAAGACTCCTGGCTCACAGAAGTATGAGGACAAATACAGGATTCCGACTTTAGAGGAGCTTCGGCTGGACTCACAGTTTCTGGGAGAGGAGCTGTTTCCTGGAGGAGAACAGGAGGCTCTGAGAAGACTAGATGAACACATGAAAAGAACGGTATAGACCTTTTACTTACCTACCACTACCTGCAAGACTTTGGGTTAATTCTGCAGACTAAAGCTAATTCATCTTTAGGGAAAAAGACGGCGAGGTTTATCTTCTTTGGCCATAGTGTAGTGAGTCAAATCAAGTGATCCTCTTTTAGTACATCAGGAATGCTTGACTGTCAGAGCCTTGCAAAGTAAATCTGAACAACCTTTCACTGAAATGACAGTTGTAATGTGACACAATGTGAAAAGGTGGCGGGATTCTGTGTCTGTAAATTTTAATCTGCTTAATTCAGGGATGGGTGTGTAGCTTTGAGAAGCCTCAGACCTCTCCAAACTCCCTGAGTCCCAGCACCACAGTCCTGAGTCCTTACGTCACCTTTGGGTGCCTCTCAGTAAGAACGTTCTGGTGGAGGCTCACTGAGGTGTATCGGGGGGTGAGTGTCACATTGTACTTCTGGTTAAATAAAAGCAGTGGCGTTAAAACAGCTAATTCTTTAACCTAATTTGTGCGTAGAGAAAGCATTCGGATCCTCCAGTGTCCCTTCATGGTCAGTTGCTCTGGAGAGAGTTTTTCTACACCTGCAGTGTGGGGATCCCTAATTTTAACAAAATGAATGAGAACCCAGTGTGCACAAAGGTGGATTGGGACACAAACCAGCAATATCTTGCTGCATGGAGAGAGGTACTGCGGGTTGAAAAGTGTTCATATTCTAATTAGGGATCATTTCGATTTATTTCCTCATTACTTTTATGTCATGATGTTGTTTCCCTGAAGGCTCGGACTGGTTTCCCCTTCATTGATGCAATCATGACTCAGCTGAGGCAGGAGGGCTGGATCCACCACCTGTCCCGACATGCTGTCGCTTGTTTTCTCACCAGAGGAGACCTGTGGATCAGCTGGGAAGAAGGACAGAAGGTGTGTTAATTTGCTTTTATGTACAAATCCAATCCCGGCCTGTGGGTGATAAGCATCTCGTAATCTGCAAAACGAAAGCTTTGCACAATGTTGCTTCTTTGCAGCAGGGTTTGCAGCACAGTTGTGACTGAAATAGCTTGTTGTCTCTTCCTAAGGTCTTCGAGGATCTCTTACTGGATGGTGACTGGGCTCTGAATGCAGGAAACTGGCAGTGGCTGTCAGCAAGCGCTTTCTTCCACCAGTTTTTCAGGGTTTACTCCCCCATCGCGTTCGGTAAAAAGACGGACAAAAACGGAGACTACATTAAGTAAGATCATTTCCCGACTGAATGCAAATAAATTGTGTAATTTTATTGCAACGGAACAACGTTGAATTTAATCTGTATGCAGAAAGTACCTTCCTCTTCTGAAGAAGTTTCCACCAGAGTACATCTATGAGCCTTGGAAGGCTCCCCGCAGTGTCCAGCAAGCAGCAGGATGCATTGTGGGAAAAGACTACCCACATCCAATAGTACAGCACGAACAGGTCAGCAAGAAAAACATTCAGAGAATGAAGGAGGCTTATGCTAAGAGGTCTTCAGACAACAATGAGTCACCTATCAAAAAGCAAGGTATTACAGGAATATACATCTCTGCAGGCCTTTTTACTCCTCCGCCTTAACTCACAGTTGCGGTAAAAACCCGTCTTCCTGACAACTACTTCTTTTTGTGTTTATCATAGGTGTGAAGCGAAAGGCTCCATCTGTCATTGAAATGCTGCAGAAGAAGAGCAGGAAAGAGTAATGGGATACAATGAAGAAAATGCACAAATATTTACCACAAAGCAATCTTCATCATAAGTTACTGAATATATTAAGGATTTTGGGACCTTGTCTAAAACATGTTCTGTCTGACCTTTTATTTTGCATATTATAAATCATTTTCCCTTTGTGTTAAATGTTTAAAAGGCAAGTACTGGGAGGAAAACAAGTTACATGTATAATTAAGCTGATAAGCAGCGGAGGAGTTGATGAGTTGCAAACAGAAGAATCTGAGCAAAGACGTCTTGCACCTAAAAATGTTACTTTTTCCTCAAATTAATATTTAGACTAAGATTACTGGATATCTTATTATTAACCCTAAAAGTATTTCTATCGTTTCTTGCCTTTTAGCTAAAGTAAGTGCCTTTTATATTACAT